AAGCAATTAACCTAAAAAATAATTTGAATAATTATTGATTAAATTTTTATCCAAATTTTGGTCAAAGAGTTATCTAAATTATACAGTTTTGATCATGAACTATCCAATTTTAGCCAAGAGCTACTCATATCACACATTTTTTGTCAAAAGCTATCAAATTTTGGTCAAGAGTTACATAAATTATTTTTTGTCCGTATTTAATTTTCACGCGATAAGTTTATGATTAAAAATAATTAACAATTTGGATGTTATCTGCTTAAGAGACCACATAAAAATATATTCAATATTTTCAGGGACTAAAATTATACAATTGAAATATTAAAAATTAAAAATAGACAAACTTTATACTTTGAGTACCTCTAATACAATTAACCCTAAATATATTTCCATTCTAGTCCCATTAAATTGGTCATTACAGATCACAAAGTCATTTTGTTTAATTTTATTTTAGCACTAAAAATCGGGTTTGACTCCTCTCTAATTACAAAATAATTGGAAATCTTTGGATTCATTTTTCATCTTAAACATGTAATCTTGAATGCAAATGCAGACAGAGGCAAAGCCATGAGTTCTTTACCTTGGGGGCAATTATTATATTGAAAAGTATGATATGATGACCATTTTCAATCCTTGGATTTGTCAACAATAAGTTTTGGATAAAATTTTAATTGATTTGAATTCGATTTCAAAATTTCGTAGTTTATTTGACTATCTAATGAATTTAATTTTTATAATTCATATCTGAATTTTTATAAAAAAAAATTTAAAAACTCAATGTTCATTAGTATGTTTGTGTATGCAATAATATGGGGCCACACTTGAATCCAATTTTTATATTTTTTTGACTAACCTTTTAATGGGGGTAAATTTTAAATAATTTTAAATTTTTTACAATTTTATAAGAAGCCCATTTTTTTTTTTTTTTAAAATTGGAATTGGAACCCCCCAAAAAAAAAAAAATCTTAAATCTGTCGCTGAATATAGAAGACACATGTTTTGGATGATTCTATATTGTCAAAAAAAATGTACCTTTTGGAATTTTCTTGTTACTAGATTAACAAGTCACATACGAGCACATGTGTGCGAGAGAGAGAGAGAAGTGGAAACAGAGCAACCCTAGTTAGATGGTCTGTTTTTGATTAAATTAAAAAAAAATTTAATCAAAATATGTAAAAACTGATTCGAACATCCTTCATCTTCGAATAAAAAATAAAAACAACCGACTCATGTGTGCATCCTCTAATTTAATGATAACCATTGTTTATGAATGCAATGGTGGATTTTTTTTATTTTTAATTTTTAATTTTTTTAGCTCTAAATCTTTTTAATTGCGAGAACTTAAGATTGCAATACAAACTCGAATACACGTAATTATTATACACCTCACATATTAATTAATCAAAGTTTTATACAACCAGAAAAAACACCAATATGCAATATGTGATGGTTGGAGTGGAGGAAAGGAACAAGAAGGTTAGAGCAAAATAACAGCTAATTATCAGGCACGTGGCAGTTGCTATCAGACAGAGGGGGACAGTTTGGTTTGGTTTGGTGCGGTGGACCCAAATGCATAAATGGGATTAACGCTGTTTTACCCTGCACACCACATGACTCTTTATCATTTTGCATCCAAACAAACACCATTAACCAAATATCCCTTGTACTGTTATACATCATCGTCCTTTCCTACTGGGGCCCACCTGAATCTGTGATCTTGGTCGTTGATTAGTTTCATCAGAATGGGTCCCACTCTCTCAACCGCTGCGATACGGATATTGGTGAAATGCCAGAGTTGGATAAATTAAATAATAACAGAAATAAGTTATAAATTTAAACGTTTTGAATTTAAATTTTAATAATTAATTAGAATCAAGCCATGAAATGCAAGAGTTATCAACCACAGTTGAAACTTGAAACCAATATGTTCGCGTTCACGATTCACTCTAAAGCTAACCCAACTTTGTTGGGTTGCGATGCAAGTTTTAATTTGTCATTTCTATCGTCAATTTTTTTTAAAAAAAAAATTAATGGTCCTATATTAACTTTACTCCAAACAATTAACAAGCAAAGTTATGTGTTTTGATGACAATCTTGAAGTGTTAGCTTCTCTTAATAATTTGAACGGAAGTTGACAATTGAAATGTTCAAAATGAATTTAGAAATCGTAAGAATAGAAACAACATAATTAGAAATTGAGGGTTCAAAGTGAGAATAAAAATATTCTTCAGGGGCTCTTAAAAAAATATGTTTGGTAATTTACAGTCTTCTTAATGGGCCACGCCACGTGAAGCCTATTATATGGTCGCTTTTTATGATGGATGGAATTAGACGGTACGAATTATTACAGAAGACAGACCACTCTCAGAGGCCAGCGCGTGAGGAAAGATTTTTCTTTTCTTTTTTTTTTGACCTTTCCCTTTTAAATTCTTTAAACAAGAAAATTCTTTTTTCAGACAATATGATATACACGGATTCAAATACCACCATTAATGAGTAAATGACTCACTTATATATAATGGTTCTCATTTAACTACATGATAGGTTATATATATATATATATTGGAGAGAATTTCAATCCGATAATTCTAATGGCAAATTATTGTAAAAACTAAATAATTAAATAATTTTAATCCTTTGAGCATACTATACTACTCGGTGCAAAATGTCTATACTACAACCTTTATTGGTGGTTCAATAACTAAGTCTGGTGTTCAGTATTTCTTCCGTTCTTAAATATCTGTTGTTTTATATATATATTTTTTGTTTCTTAATATCTGTCGTTTAATAAAACTAAAATATAATTAATATTTTTTCTTCCAAATTTACTTTTAATTTTTCAATACATTAGATTAAGTGGAGGTTAAGTGTTTTTCATATTTATTTCCTTCTCAATACGTATTGAATAAGTCTATTTTAATCTTGTGTGATTATTTTTTACTCATATTAAAGCTATTTAATAGATTCCCTAATCCTTGTACAAAAATCTTAAACGACAGGTATTTAAGAACGAAGAAAGTAATTTAAATGTCTCAAATTTAACACTTTTCATACTCTCTAAGAACTATTCACTCTTGTTCTTTAAGAGATATGTTTTAAACTAGTTCGGCTATAGTTCTCAGTATTTAAACTCTAACGAATAGTTGACAAAAGTTTGAACACCTGTACCAAAAAAAAAAGGTCTATATTGTGATGCCAAATTTTCTGATCAATTTGATGCATTGGGTGTAAACCGGCAAACATTTGGATTGAGTTCTTTTACATAATTTTTTTATACAATTTTATTTAATAGTAGATCAGTCACTATAAACTCACGTATAATTAATTATTTAACAATAACTGCTGCTCTATTTTTAAATTTTTATTACTTAATATGTCATTTAATCGATAATTTTTTAAAATTCTAATAGCATTCAACTTTTTGTCACCCTCTATATGTTAGCAGGTTGATTGTTTGGGCCAAAAATTGAATTATGTAATAGACAGATATGCTACCTTGTCACTTTAGCTAGCACTCAAAATGGACAAAAATTTCAGAGAGAGAGAGAGAGAGAGAGAGCAAGCTATCGCTTTAATGGGGCGCTGAAGAATTAACGTTGACATTGAAGTGTCAATAAAAGTTACACATTGGTGGTGGTTGTCAACGCTCTGATACATACCATGAAGAGGTGCCATGAATGTGAGCATCACACCACCATCATGATATCCTTCCCCACATGACATGACATCACTCACACACACACACACACACACACAACTACTATTACACTGTTGTCCCCCATTTCTCCCCTTAATTCCTCAAAATCCATCATTCTTCGTCAAGAATCCAATACAAAACAAAGTCCCCACAATTTGGAATCAAGCGTATCTATGGATTTCCTTTAAGATCTAGAGAATCTCTCTCATGATTCTAACACATGATAACTATAGGGTGAAAACTGTGGTACTAACAATTTTTTCCTATATTGAAATATTTTTTTACTATATTGTATCTCCATATTTTTATAACAAGAAAATTATAAATTTTTTGGGTCAAATTCTAACTTTTAAGGTTTAAGTTACATATTTTTTAAGTCATGTTACTACAAAACTTATTAAAAAAATCCACAAAATTTGTTATTGTGGCAAGGAAACACGATTTTGTCTGAGTAAAAGTATGAATGGATTGTATCGTGGTTAAATACTTGTTGTCTTAAAATTTGTTTAATCTATGCTCATTTCATTTGTTATTTATACATATTTAAATCTAAGCCGTGAATAAGCTGTTTAGGGAGTTCGTATTAACTCACTTATTCAAATAGTGTAATGAGTCTAATTACATATGAATTCAATTTGTAGAGTATATATAAAGTTATTAATTTTAGGTTGATCTCATACCATATTAGTGTGGAGTCTTGTGTAGGCTTCATGTTATTTTAGATAGATGTCACCCTCGTGTCGATTTAAGGGAATAGTTTGATAATAAAAAGTCAAAAGAATTATGACTTTTTTTACTTAAGAAAATCTACTACACATAAGTGCACTAAAAATTAAAAACTTTGTGAAAATTAAATGGAAATTTATTTTAATTTATAATAGATTATATAAAATACCATATTAAGTAAAAAAACACTAAAATAAGGCATGTTTTTTTTGGTTATAATATTAATAAAACTGATTTATCGAATCAAATCAAATTATTGGTACTTGTTTTTAACTCTATTCATTATTTATTATTATTATTCTAGGTTTATCAGTTCACAAAAGGAAAGTGATAAGATATTGTTTGGCATGTGGTTACCTGTGTTTTCTCCTCTTTCCATGGACCATTATGCACCCCAACTCTCTCTCTCTCTCTCTCATTAGATCATTCTTTCCTTTCTTTATTGCCTGTAGGTCTACGTGGGCCGAACTCTGAACTCACTCTCCTTCCAGGAGAGCGCAGACCCTAAAGAATCTTCACCTTCCAACTCTCAACATTCTCGATCTCTCTCTCTCTCTCTCTCTCTCTCTCTCTCTCTACAATGGGGAACCCAAGATTGAAGCTTGAACAGCCAGACACCAAAAGGCCTCAAAGTCTGTCAACATGCAGCAGTGGAAGAAGAAGCGGCGACTCCAACTCGCCGGAATTCGAGTTTTGGATGGTGAGAAACCCATCTTTCCCTCAACCCAACCTCCTCTCCGCTGACGAGTTGTTTGCCGACGGCGTTCTTCTCCCTCTCCACCTCCTCCACAACCAAAACTCCGACGATCCACCGGATACAAACCCTGAACCACCCAACTCAGACCCACCACCGCAAAAACCTGAACCCAACTCAGAACCCAGTTCAGGCCCTGAGTTATCAACTTCAGCAGCCAACTTGTCATCCAACACATTGTCTCCTTCAAAGAGATGGAAAGACATATTCAAGAAGACAGAGAAGAAGAATCTGCCTAGAAGCAACGAGGAGAGAGAAAAAGAGAAAGACAAGAAAAAAGAGCGAAAGAATGCTGGCGGTAATGGCAATAACGGTGCAAGCTCGGCAGAGCTGAATATAAACATATGGCCGTTTTCTAGGAGTAGATCGGCCGGGAATGGTGGTACAAGGCCGAAGATGGCCACCGGATCGGCGGCGTCTCGGAAGGTGAGTAGTGCACCGTGTTCGAGGAGTAACTCAGCTGGTGAGTCCAAGTCCAGGAAGTGGCCGAGTAGCCCGAGTCGTGGTGGGGTCCACTTGGGCCGGAGTAGTCCGGTTTGGCAGGTCCGGCGTGGTCCTCCTGGTGGGAAGAGCTCCGGCTCCGAGGCTGTAATCAGGAACGCTGAAAAGGGTGTTAAAAAAGAAGGAAATGAAACTTCCAGGATCAAAACCACCGCCACAGCCGGCGGCGGCGTCTGTGTAGGTGGTGCGGCTAAGCCTAAGGTTTTGAATTTAAATGTTCCGATGTGTATTGGGTACCGACATCATTTGAGTTGTAGAAGTGATGAGAACAGTGCAGTCGGTGTCACCGCCGTGGCTGGTGACACCGGTGGTGGTCAGAGTGGCGGAGGAGTATCCGGTGATGGTGGGCGCGGCACCAATCTGTTTAACTTGCGAAGCCTCTTCACTAAAAAAGTTTATTAATTCTCTCGTTATCAGTAAAGTAACTATTTTTGGTTTTTTTCCCTTTTTCAGTCCTCCAATTCACAGAAATATATTCCGGTTTTTATTAGATATGTAATTATGCAAATCAAAGTGGAAAATTACTCTCTAACTTTGAAAGATTGTATGCTTTTTTTTCTTTTTTTAAAATTTGTTTGGTACCCTTTTATGTATATATATATAATTTTCCAATATTATACTGTTTAAGTCATATTTTTGCTGGTGCTTGCTTGTTTCTCCATTAATCTTCTTGCAATGCCCCTCCAGTTTTTTTTATTTTTTCTTTCAATGATGGGGTGTGTTTAATTGAATTTACGCGCATCACCATTAATTTTTTATCCGGTCTACTCAAAGATAAATTAAAAAATTATTAAAATTTAAATTCAGGACGTTTGACAGTTATTTTTATTTTTTCTCTAGTTTTTTAATGTTAACAAAGAAAACCTAATGGTTGTGGGGGCGAGATTCCAAGTTCTAATTACCCAATTACCCGATGGTGTTACTTAAGAACAATTATAGGCATTTGAAATTTTGTTTATAGTTACGAGTCTAAAAAGCGTATCACCGATCGATATTTGTTATTAAAGCGGGAAAAAATTGAAATTTTGGATGATCTAACCGGTTAAACTTGATAAACTTTTTGTGGGTTTATCTGATTGAGTGGTTGAGATCATTAATAAGAAATAGTAAAGCCTTTCTTTTCTTAATTGATGGAATGGCTTTCAAAAGTTTCTGAGCAATATGAAATATTCTTCACAGAATGTAATGTGGTTCTCTAACTGGTTCTTCTTCGATTGCATTAGATAGTGAGGACTTGTCTGCAGAGTAAGATTTCACAAAATTTTTAAGATGATGATTGTAAGTTCATAAAGGATATCGATCTCATAGATACATATACAATTTTGTCAAAAACTGTATTCCATGAAAGTTGTATAACCCCGGCTTAGAGGGAGATTATAAGATTCAACTCCGCTCTACTATAATTTTTTTAATTTTCTCAATGGCAAATGAACACCCTAGCTACTGAACATTAGTGGATTAACCTGATTCAAGCTTTGTTCACAAAGCCCTCGTAGACTCTAAAGGCAGGCCGTGATAAGCGTAGGCTCGAGGTGTCGCCATGGGCAGGGGGGATCAGTGTTGTCTCAACACGGCATAGTCAGTAGGGAGGAGGAAGACGTTGTTTGCCATTGTGGTGAACCCGTGGATTCATGAAACCTTGTTGAAGTATTCACGAATCCACGGTAATAAAGGTCATAACTAGAAAACAATGTTTTGACTTATTGCAGCGTTTGAGAGAAGTGAGTGATAAGAATTGATTTCAAATTCGAAGTATATGATTTAGACGGATGAAAACTTGTTATCGTTCTATATTTAACTTTTATAAAAATACACACTAGGCTCATATAGCCCATTGATATGCGTAGCCCAACCCAAATATAATGGCCCATCTCAACTCGTTACTGGTCCTTCTGTATTCTCTGGTCGAAATTTAAGAGAATAGTAGTTCATATATAGACACTCGACACATTCAGGCAGAGTTCCCTTGGGCAACAAGTTGCGCGTGACACCCATCATCACTGTCGCAGAGACTCCATGGCTTCAACGAGGCGTCTAGCTACGACACTCCGGACTTTCCGTACAATTGCCTCTCGCAGAACCCTAACTCCTCCTCCCAATGGTCCATCTCGTCACCTTCATCAACTACCCCCTCATCGTACGCTCTCTCTCTCTCTCTCGTGATATATGTACGTATGTGTATATAATGTGTTTTTTGGCTTAAATTCAGAGTCAGCTTTGATGTGTGTAGAATTAATGTTTGTTTCAATTCTCTTTAGTCCTCCTCGAACTTGTTGTCGCGGCTTGATTGTAGTGTTCGGTTTTAATTTTGAATAGAAAGTCCATTGATTCTTCATTTACTGGTTAGGAATTTCTACGGTTAAACCCTTTTTTATTTGTTTCTTGTAGTTTAAATTCGTTTTAAATATTAATTGAATGAATTCTGAGCAAAGCTTATCATTTCTTGTAATTTATTTACTTACTTGTGACAATCATTATTGATCATAATTCACATTACTAACTCTAGAGACATCCTGAATTCGGGGCCAGACTAGCCTGTCATGGTTAGCCTGCCTTTGCCTTTCATCGAACTGGGGAGTGGAACACCCCTGACTGTAATACCAAAAAAATGTTGTGTAATTTATTTAATAAATCAATAAAATGATGAAAAAAAAAAAAACAATTCTTGCACTATTAATTTCTTAAAACAAAGACCCTAGAAATTACACCCAAAAATGATTTGCCTTAAAATCACAATTTATGAAATATAAATAAAAGAACGATTTCACCAAACTATGGATCAAGTCGAAGCTTTGTCCTTAAAGGTTGATTCGTGTCCCTCGAAATCGATGACTCGGTGTGATAGGTCCTCGGCATGACAACCTCCCAGGATTTCTATAGCTTCACCTCCACCAACACACACTTGTTGTGAAGAGTGTTTAACAACCCTTTTTATACTTCCTTGTGGAAGCACAACAAAATTTTTCTAAAGAGAATGTGAGAATTTTGAAGCAATGAAAGAGAGAGATGNTTTCTCAATGGCAAATGAACACCCTAGCTACCGAACATTAGTGGATTAACCTGATTCAAGCTTTGTTCACAAAGCCCTCGTAGACTCTAAAGGCAGGCCGTGATAAGCGTAGGCTCGACGTGTCGCCATGGGCAGGGGGGATCAGTGTTGTCTCAACACGGCATAGTCAGTAGGGAGGAGGAAGACGTTGTTTGCCATTGTGGTGAACCCGTGGATTCATGAAACCTTGTTGAAGTATTCACGAATCCACGGTAATAAAGGTCATAACTAGAAAACAATGTTTTGACTTATTGCAGCGTTTGAGAGAAGTGAGTGATAAGAATTGATTTCAAATTCGAAGTATATGATTTAGACGGATGAAAACTTGTTATCGTTCTATATTTAACTTTTATAAAAATACACACTAGGCTCATATAGCCCATTGATATGCGTAGCCCAACCCAAATATAATGGCCCATCTCAACTCGTTACTGGTCCTTCTGTATTCTCTGGTCGAAATTTAAGAGAATAGTAGTTCATATATAGACACTCGACACATTCAGGCAGAGTTCCCTTGGGCAACAAGTTGCGCGTGACACCCATCATCACTGTCGCAGAGACTCCATGGCTTCAACGAGGCGTCTAGCTACGACACTCCGGACTTTCCGTACAATTGCCTCTCGCAGAACCCTAACTCCTCCTCCCAATGGTCCATCTCGTCACCTTCATCAACTACCCCCTCATCGTACGCTCTCTCTCTCTCTCTCGTGATATATGTACGTATGTGTATATAATGTGTTTTTTGGCTTAAATTCAGAGTCAGCTTTGATGTGTGTAGAATTAATGTTTGTTTCAATTCTCTTTAGTCCTCCTCGAACTTGTTGTCGCGGCTTGATTGTAGTGTTCGGTTTTAATTTTGAATAGAAAGTCCATTGATTCTTCATTTACTGGTTAGGAATTTCTACGGTTAAACCCTTTTTTATTTGTTTCTTGTAGTTTAAATTCGTATTAAATATTAATTGAATGAATTCTGAGCAAAGCTTATCATTTCTTGTAATTTATTTACTTACTTGTGACAATCATTATTGATCATAATTCACATTACTAACTCTAGAGACATCCTGAATTCGGGGCCAGACTAGCCTGTCATGGTTAGCCTGCCTTTGCCTTTCATCGAACTGGGGAGTGGAACACCCCTGACTGTAATACCAAAAAAATGTTGTGTAATTTATTTAATAAATCAATAAAATGATGAAAAAAAAAAAAACAATTCTTGCACTATTAATTTCTTAAAACAAAGACCCTAGAAATTACACCCAAAAATGATTTGCCTTAAAATCACAATTTATGAAATATAAATAAAAGAACGATTTCACCAAACTATGGATCAAGTCGAAGCTTTGTCCTTAAAGGTTGATTCGTGTCCCTCGAAATCGATGACTCGGTGTGATAGGTCCTCGGCATGACAACCTCCCAGGATTTCTATAGCTTCACCTCCACCAACACACACTTGTTGTGAAGAGTGTTTAACAACCCTTTTTATACTTCCTTGTGGAAGCACAACAAAATTTTTCTAAAGAGAATGCGAGAATTTTGAAGCAATGAAAGAGAGAGATGAGAATTTTGAAACAACAATTGTAAGAGAACATGAACGAGCCGAAGTCTCTGTCTAGCCAAAAAAGATAAAGCGATAGCTTCTCTTGTAAGCTACTCCAACGGTAAAAAGACAAAGGAGTTGGGCTATGGGCTTTGCAAAGACAAAACAAAAAAATTCATGCACTTAGAAAATAAAATAGTGTAGGCCCAACTAATTAAATGTTTTGAAACAAAATAAAAGAAAAACCCAACAATCCCCCACGTGTTTCAAAACATTCAAATGAGATAAAGGAGGAACAAGAGAAAGCATGCGTCAATAAGGTACCACATAAGCTTTAACCTTATCTAGAATAAGTGACAGCAATCCACAGAAATAATGGTAGAGTTAGACTTCTTTAACCATATCCCATTATGTGAATGAACCAACTCACCATTCACATACCTTCCACTAATTAGGGTTGTTCTCATATGCGAGTTGGCGTCATAAATACCGGCCATGCGCCTGTCTTGGGTTTTTATGTATGCTCTAGTGACTTGCCCATGTCACATAGAAGGCGGCTCCACCTTCACACACATATAGGTAGCATCCATCACGAGTGTGCTGCAGTTGAACACTCCATCCCAATAATTAGGGACTATGGATCTATTAAGAGCAACAACTCAACCTTCTCACTGCAGCGGCACTGTCATGACACCATAGGGATGGACCTTCACATTAGGCCTCGACGCCTAAGTGGGATAATAATAAGTGACAGTGCCCCTCTGAGACTGTCTGTGACTTTGTTTCCCATTTAACCCCATAAGTGGAATCACCTAT